ACACGTACGATAACATCATCCACAAAACACACCGGTTATCCGCACCGTAGGCACGAACTACGTTGCTCTGATTTCTCTTGCATGTTGAGAATACGTAGGCATAGGATTACGACAATCCTAGCGAGCACCCTTTTCTTTTTCCACTCTCTCCCAGAAAGGCATGCTACGTCCGTTCTACCGCAAACAGGTAACGCCTAAGTCTCCAACGAGCGAGCAGCAATACACCTAACTGCTAGAATGCGCACGATAGCAGCGTCTACCAAGACTTCCCCGCACACCGTAGGCCGAACTACGGCTGCTCTGATTCTTTACTTCTTCAAGTAAAGATACGTAGGCACAAGGGCCACAATCCTTGCCGAGCACATTCCCCCCATATATGTAGTTCCCCGAACTACGTCGACTCTGACTTTCTCATATCTATTGAGAATACGTAGGCCTAGGACCGCGAAGTCCTATCGAGTCTGTTCTTCCTCTCTTCTCCCCTGTTCCTTCTCTTTCCGCGTTTCTAAACCATTATCTTTATCTTGTGGAACACTTCTTATAGCATAATGTTTAAGCAAATAAATTCACACGTCGACAAACAAATGGTTCCCATCGAGTACGATGGATGCGAGGGGTGCTAATACCTTCCCCTCACATAACCGGCTTCCGAACCCGTTCTTGGTTGCGAGACCATCTTATCCATTCATTTCTTAAGGTTTTCTCGATATTTTCCTTTCCCCTCATGGGATAAATAAAGTTCGGTGGCGACTCTTCTGTCCTTTCTTTTCGCCTCCCCGTCGTTGCACGATGCATTTTTCGAGTAGCGACAGGGGGTTCACTCAGAAAGAAGGTATCAGATTCAATGATGTGTTCTCACATGCTATAAATCACAAATCCATTAGAATGTTGTTAGCCATGGTGGCAAAGTTTGACCTAGAACTTGAACAGATGGATGTGAAGACAACCTTCCTATATGGTGATCTAAATGAAACAGTCCTAGATGAAAGGAAGATTACGTGTGCAATTTGAATAGGTCTTTGTATGGCATGAAACAATCTCCTCGACAATGAAATAAGAGATTTGACAAGTTCATAACACACATAGGTTTCACTAGGAGACACTTCGGCCACTATGTTTACTTCAGATTTCGACTTGGAAATTCACTTTTTATTTTGTTGCTTTATGTGGATGACATCCTCATAGAAAGAAATAGTGTCGAAGATGTTATGAAGGTGAAGGTTGAACTTAATAAGGAGTTCAACATGAAGGATTTGGGAGCTGCCTCCAGAATTCTTGGGATTGACATCCAGAGAGATAGAAAGCAATCGAGATTATTCTTATCTCAAGAGACATACCAGAAGAAGATTCTCAATAACTTTGGTATGTCGAATTCAAATCATGTTCTAACACTTACTAATCCTCAGTACAAGCTAAGTACGACTCAAAGTCCTAGTACTAAAGTCGAAAGAGCATATATGAATAGCATTCCATATGCTAGTATAGTAGGTTCTTTGATGTATGTTATGGTATATACGAGGTCAGACATGACATACGAAATGAGCCTTGTAAGCAGGTATATGGCTAATCTTGGAAAGGCGCACTAGCAAGCATTAAGTGGATTTTAAGGTACATAAATGGATCTCTAAATAGAGTGTTGATTTATGGTGGAGCCTGTGGTGATGATAAAAATGTCAAAATTGGAGGATTTTTCAACTCTGATTATGCAGGTTGTATGGATTCCAGAAAATCTAATTTTGGATATGTGTTTACTATGTTCGGCACGACAATCAATTGGAAATCAAAACTTCAAAAGTGTAACTTGTAAATGCACCTAAGAAGGGGGTGAATTAGGTTCTGAAAAATATTTGCAATCTTTTCGATTCTTGGTTCTTTTTCCGATTATGATGATAGTGACTTGAAAGTAAAGTGCAGGAAAGAAAAAGAGACACAAGAAATTTATAGTGGTTCCCCTCACACTCCGAGAGTACTCCACTCCCCTTTCGACTCGAAAGAGATTTCACTATAGTTTAGAATTATTGCACAGCCTAATCACACCAATGGTGATGCCTACTATCTAATATATAGGTAATCCAAGTGTAGAAGAACAATCCTCTTCAAACACTTCACTTGTTTCCAACAATCATGGATAACAAGGTAATACACAATTATCTTTGAAATAAGTTGAAATCTTTGAGAGAATGATATTATCAATCTTCACGATTGATCTTCTTCTTGAAACAAATATTACTCAAATAAGTATACTAGTGTTCTTGTGAGAGGATTTGAAATGAAGTTGTGATAGTGTGAAAGTTTATTCAAAGGCTTCTTTCAAAAATGTTTTTGAACACTTAAAAATGAAAATTTGAAGGATGAAGAAAATGAGTAATTTGAATGATTTTATTTCTTGAAGGTAAATTGGAATTTTGAAATTGATAACAATTTATATTGATCAAAATACCTTTTCAAAAGGGTGTGATTTTGTGCAGCAAAAACAGTCAGAAATCAAAATGGAGACCAATGCATATTTTCATGAAAAGCTGGCATTTTGCTTGTTGTTTCAGTGTTAATCGGTTAACCAAATGGATTTATCGGTTAACACCTTACAACATTTAAAAAATATTTAAAATTTACACATGTTAATCGGTTAACCATATAGGTTAATCGGTTAACACTGTAACAAAATCACAAATGAGTTAATTTTAAGGACCGTTAACCGGTTAACCAAAAGGGTTAATCGGTTAACACTGAAAGATTTTCAGAAAATAATTATTTTTAACAAGAGTGAGTAACTTAAAATGATTTTAAAAGAGTTTGTGGTATATGTGAAGTGAAATGTGAATTTATGAACACTTGTATAGATATTTTCAAGTAATATTTGTTATACCTTTGGCTTGATGTTCAAGACTCAATCTTCATTACTTAAAACTTGTGAGAGAAGCTTTGATCCATAGAAGACATATGCGAGAGCACTATCTTGATACTTGATGTCTTTGTTGTTTACTTGATTCTCTTACTTTTTGCGTAGTATAAGTTGCGTAGAAAGCTTGTTCTTGTTGTCCTCATCAAAACATTTAAATATGCTTGAAGCTTGCTTCTACAAAAAGGTTTTTGTCTTATTAACCACTGAAGTGGATTATATTTCCCTCACTGAAGCTGTGAAAGAAGCATTATGGCTTGAAAGCTTTGCTAAAGAGTTGAAATTGTAAGGTCAAGTTATCACTGTTAAATGTGATAGTCAAAGTGCAATACACATGTCGAAGAATTCAACTTATCATGAGCGAACCAAGCACATCGATGTGAGGCTACACTATGTCAGAGAGATAATCAAGCGCGGAGAAGTCCTAGTGTTAAAGATTTTGACTAATGACAATGATGTTGAAATGATCACTAAGACATTGTCAAGTAACAAGTTTTTCCACTATATGCAATTGATAAAGTTGTATGATGAAATCTAGTTTGTTTCCTTGTTAGTGTAGAGTTTCTTCCAAGTCGGAGATTTGTGGTATTTTGGATCGATCTCTAGTGTCGACTTGGACAACTTCATGGTTCGACAAAGGTTTAGCATGTAGTCAAAGTCTGTTCACATGTTGATCCTGCATGTTGTAGTCGAAGTATGCTCAAACATGTAGTAATCGAAATGTTATGAATGTTAGCATATTGAATTGGGTATTGTTTGTAAGCCCAATTGTTAAGTTAACTTGTAGCCTAATTTAGTTCAGTAGTCTATAAATATACTAGTTCTCTCAGGTTGTTGAGAGAATTTAATTGTTGTTATTCACTTGTAATCTTTGAACCTTTATTGAGTAAGTGAATAATAAAACAGTTTTAACCAATTCAAATTCTTCTTCTTTCTTCTTCTACTCAAGCATGTAGTAGTCGAAATGTTATGATTGTTAGCATGTCAAATTGGGTATTGTTTGTAAGCTCAATTGTTAAGTTAACTTGTAGCCTAAGTTAACTTAGTAGTCTATAAATATACTAGTTCTCTCAGGTTGTTGAGAGAGGTTAATTGTTGTTATTCACTTGTAATCTTTGAACCTTTATTGAGTAAGTGAATAATAAAACAGTTTTAACCAATTCAAATTCTTCTTCTTTCTTCTTTTATCTTTTTTCATAAAACCTAATAGGGTTTCTTGTGTTTGTTCAAAAAATTCACTTTTTCTCATATTTTAGTTTGTTCTTGCGGGCATCAATTCACAACAATACAAAATATGAGTCAACTAAAATATATTCAGATGTAAGGAGCTTGTAGCATATAAAACAACATAAAAAATTTGATAACCAAAAAGTTAAATATACTTGATACAAAATACAAAATACTACATCAAAAATTAAATATAACTAAAACATTAAATGTACTTGATATAAAATATAAATCAACTTAAATATATCCCAATACAAGAAACACTTAGTGTAAAATACTACATCGAGAATGAGATAAAACCAAAAAATTAAATATACTTGATACAAAATACAAACTACTACATTGAAAATTAGATATAACCAAAAATACAAACTACTACATTGAAAATTAGATATAACCAAAACATTAAATGTCCTTGTTATAAAATACAAATCAACTTAAATGTATCTCGATACAAGAAACATTAGCATAAAATACTACATCTTTAAATGTATTTGATACAAAATATATATGAACTAAAATATACCTAAATACAAGAAGAAAAAACCTGTAACAATGTATTTGATACAAAATATATATGAACTAAAATATACCTAAATACAAGAAGAAAAAACCTGTAACGTATAGCGTAAAATACTACCTCAAAAATAAAATATACCTTAAACATTAAATATATTTTATACAAAATAGGGAAGAAATAGATTTGACTAAGATTTTTGTATTTTATATTTCATTTAGGAGGAGTTGTTTTCTTCATTGTTCTTTCTTTCCTCAAAATTTCCTTCTTGAATTGCATCACTCAATCACAATGCAATGCAGTCTAAACAAGTACTAAGATCAACAAACAAAGTATAAGAAATGTATATTTATTCTATTATCTCAATGCCATGATTTTTGTGTGCACAAGAAGTAAAGAGAAAACACGTGGATTAATCGGAACAAACACATGAACCCTATAGGTTGAAGAAGAACCAACCCTAGGTCCACTGAACGACTCCACGGTACTACTCATCCCGCTCGAAATAGGATAATTGACATAAACCGTGTTGTCTGCTTTCGTAAGCACGGGTGGTCTAGGCATCCCACTCGAAGTAGGATAATTGACATAAACCGTGTTGTCTGCTTTCGTAAGCACGGGTGGTCTAGGCCTACGGTTAACCGGAGGTGGAGGAGGAGGAGGAAGCAGAGCCGCAAGAGCCTCAGGAGGGATAGGGAAAATGGTCTTGGCTTTGGCGCCGTGGAAGGATATTGCAGCTGCGTCGTAAGCCCAGGCCGCTTGAATTGCAGAATCAAAAGTGCCTAACCAGACACGGGCTATCTTCCACGGATCTCTTATCTCCGCCGCGTATCGGCCCCATGGTCGCTTCCAGATGCCGCGGTAAGGATTTCTTTGTCAAGATTTGATTTTTTTTGGCGCATCGTGAAGACAGAAAGACAATCCGCATCCACTATCTATGACCCCAGCCAAGCACATATCTTAAACAGAGAATGGACAAATGAATGACGTAAGGAACGCAAATCGCTCAACAAAAACCTTGGCTTCCTCAATAAATTCTTCAACTCAGGCGAACTCAAGGCTCTGTCAGCAGCCTTTTCAGCAGACACGTTTCCATTCACTGCATCTGTACCCGAGGAATTCATTCCCATAGCTACATCCTTTTGCATTTTCAGACCGTCTAGATTTCTTCTACTCTCTTCAAGTCCGGCCAAGATCTCGTCAAGCTCTCCTTTAAGTATTAAGAAAAAACCTATAATACACAATTAATTTATATCAGGGCATAATATCTGGTCATATCTATTCCAATGTTTTAAAAACTAGATTGGAGACTAAACCGGTTTATCACAATTGAAGCGGGTGACTGATTGAAGTGAATAATTAATCCTGATTCCATCATTTAAAGGTAAAATCAAATCAATTCAAAACAACCAGATTTGCATAGATTTTTATTAATTTTTTAAACTAGACCTATAGGATTTTAATATCAAATCAATTCCTATGTCATAATTTTACAAACAAAAGAAATTCAATTCCATAAGTTAAAACTATGGAGATAAACCGAATATTGATTCTGATTATTTGAAAGTACAAGCTCTAATACAGTTTATACAGACCAATGTAAACAACTTCGAATAAATTGTAATCAGGAAAAAAGAAAGTAATATTTGTTTCAGTAATTATACACTATTATGCTTAAAGAAAGTAATATTTGTTTCTGAAATCATGTCATCAGACTTGATGGGTGTTCGACTCATTAAGAGTGGTGAATCCCTGGTCAAACCGGTGTATATAATGAATACAATAAATTTTATTGTTGGTTTGGAAAGATTTGATTTTCTTCCCGTGACATTTAACAACAAAATTTAAGATTGATCATCTAAGCCTTCTTAGTTTATTGTTGATAATTGTCACACGGAAAAAATCATATCTTGACAAAGCAATTCCAAGTACCATGAGAACTTATGAGCTCAAACTAGAGTTGCAGCAATGGTGTATCCTTGACAATTATTGAAATGAATTAGCTTGAAATTAAGATGGAAGAGACCAAACATGATCCTGACATACCTATGACTCAACTTGATAGATAAGAGGATGTAAACTAGAAGCTAGTCCAAATGTCACAAGACAAAATTACAGAAGAAGAGATTTTGATAGAATGATTATTAGTACAAATTTTCCATCAAGGAATTTTGAGAGCTAAACTTATCTAAATTCATGAAGATCTATACTAGGATTATTAAGGTTGTCATGATCTAGATCTTGCATAAGATCGCAAGGTAGTTGCAAGATCGTAAAATTAATATAAGACCATAACCAATATTGAAAGATCTTAACTAATTATTTTGTAAGATCGGAAGAGGGAAGCTAGATCGTAAAACATAAAATCGTAACAAAGATTATCAGATCCTACTAAAACGAACATGGTTACTCGAACAAACCCTAAAATTGAGAAATCTATTCTTTAAACCAAAAATCTAAAAGATCATCAATTCAAAGGACATATTGTCATTGTCATCAGACCGTAATTGTGGTCCCATGCATCTTCTCATCCTTATTAGGTTCTTCTCAACTAGTGATGGTGATGGCCGGAAAACATCAAAATGTGGCCAAATACAGCCATGATAGCACAAAATCAAATACTTCATATTTGTATACAATTTGATTGCAGCAATCTTGCTACAATATACAATTTTACGCAAGATTCGAATCATTGAAGGTGAAGGAGATCGAAAATCATAAGATTTTAAAACTTCATGATTTTATGATCTCACTCACCCCCAATGATTTGGATCTTATGCAGAATCGTATCATTGCAAAATTATAACCAATTTGTGAAAGGATAGTGAAATTGTTGATTTTGTGCTATTATGGTCATATTCTACCATACTTGACGGCCACAATCGCTAGTTTAGAAGAAACAGACTAGTAGGACAAGTGTGATAAGATATAAAGGAGCAACCGTTACATCTTGAAGACATTGACGGGTAACTTTTTAAATGATGTGATAAGATATAAAGGAGCAACGGTTACATCTTGATGACATTGACAGGTACCTTTTTAAATGACGAAGTTTTAGATTTATGGTTTAGAGGTACTTTTTAAATGACGAAGTTTTAGATTTATGGTTTAGAGAATAGACATCTCAACTTTATCAACTATATGGTTTGTTTCAAGTGATAGGCTGTGTTTTAGTAGAAACTGACGATCTATGTTACGATCTTATCTTTTACGATCTTGATACCCCATCTCGAACTTAAAAAATTAATTTGCTCTGATTTTCCAATTTTGTTATGATTTTATAATTACAATGGTACAGCCTCTCAATCTTATGCAAGATCTCAATCTGGAGTGAATGAGAAGCACCAATCAAAATAAAACATCACCCCAACTTCACTCCATTGTTTTTAAAAACAAATTTTACCCAAAATACCCAATTCAGTAGGTTTCCACAACCCTAACCAGCTCAAAAATTCAAAACAATATAATCAACCTACATAACTGATCAGTAGCAGAAATAAAAGCAGAATAACAATTTATTGCAACAAAAAGTGAGAAAAAGCAGTTACAATTTAGCTGTTGGCAGAATGAATGGAAGAGTTTCTGAACATGCAGGAAGAAACGGGAGTGAGAAGATGATGCCTCATCTGGTCGGGTTCGCCGTGATCTGAATTTTCTATTTGGATTCTGCAATTTTGAACAAAACGAAATTAAACCAAGCACTAGGAATATGAGAATGGAAAATTGTTAAACTCTTTTTGAAGAAGAGCGACATATATCGAAAGAAAAAGCAAAGGAAAATAGAACCTACTGTGTTACTCAAATTTTTCTCTCTCTCACACACACACATATATATATATATATATATATATATATATATATATATATATATATATATATATATATATATATATATATATATATATATATATATATATTAAAGAATCTATAATAAAAAAATTTTACTTAAAAAATTAATAAAATTATTAATTATTATTTTGTATTAATTTAATATATAATTTTTAATAAATTTTTGTTATATTCATCTTCTAACTTAACTTGTACTTATATTTATCTCTTAACTTGTGCTTTTAAAACACAAATTAGTATTATCTTATTCATAAAATATAAATTAATATAAATATTTTGACAAAAAAAAATATTCTTACTATAACTATATTAAAAAACTAAAATTGTTTGTAGAAAATTGTATTAAAGTTTTATGAAAATACTTTTTTATTTCACTTTCTATAATATGTTATACTTTCTCTATTTTTATATTATATTATTACAAATATTTTGACCAAGAAAATATTATTACTATAACTATATTAAAAGAAACTAAGTTTGTTTCTAGAACAACTATATTAAAAGAATCTAAGTTTGTTTCTAGAATACTATATTAAAATTTTATTTTTATTTTTTATTTTACTTTCTATAATATGTTGATATTTTCTCTGTTTTTTATTATTTGTCTTTTTAAAATAAAAAATTATTTTACAAATATCAATCAATTCATAAATTTTTTTTCTATATTAATATTCTTTTTTTTCCTTCTATATTACCTATTAAGTATTCCTTTTTCTCTTTTTTTTATTGTTTCTTTTAATTTAAGTTTAATCTGATTTTTAGTCACTTAACTAAATTGGTAAAAAAACTTTTTCCATCTTTAGACTTTATTTTTTTTTAAAGTTAATCATTTGTTATTTTTAACAAATATCATACTGTTGAATATTATTGGTTTATTCAATCTAATAGTAAATCACTAACACCTATTTATTTATCTTTTTACATTTCTTCATATTCAATCTAATAAAAAGTAAATTCATAAAATTTTAATATAGTTATTCTAGAAACAATCTTAGTTTTTTAAATATAATTATATTAATAATATTTTCTTGTTAAAAATATTTATAATAATATAATATAAAAACAGTGAACGTGAAATATGGTAAGAATATTTTTTTGGTCAAAATATTATATATATATATATATATATATATATATATATATATATATATATATATATATATATATATATATATATATATATATATATATATATATATATATATATATATATATATATATATATATATATATATATATATATATATATATATATATATATATATATATATATATATATATATATATATATCAATTACTATTCAATTGCATGCTTTGCCTAAATTGACCTTTCACTAAAAATAATTTACACAATAAAAAGAATATTTTGGTAATCAAGTAATGTTATCATTTAATCATTCCAATCACATTACATGTGTACTCATTTTCATTTCAAATTCAAATAATTCACTTTTCATATTTTTCATCTTTCTCTCTCTTGCAATACATAGTTTTTTCTCCCGTTTTCTCTCTTCTCTGAAATCCTACGCAGTCACTGTCCTATTTCAACCCTTTCTACAACCTAATGGCCGTAATTAATATATATATATATATATATATATATATATATATATATATATATATATATATATATATATATATATATATATATATATATATATATATATATATATATATATATCACCTTTTAAGTATTTTTTTCTCTTTTTTTTTTCTTTTCATTTTTCTCTTTTAGTTTAGGTTTAATTTTTTAGTCACTTAACTGAATTGTTGATTTTAAATGGGTCTCATAATTAATATTCTTTACTTTTAAACCCTTTAAATCTATTTTTTTCACCTTAAACTTTACTCTTTTTAAAATTAATCATTTGATATTTTTAACAAATATCACACCGTTGTATATTGTTGGTTTATTCAATCTAATAGTAAACCACTAAAACCTAATTTGTTTTATATTTCTTCATATTCTTCTCTCTTCTTCTTCATCTCATTCATTATTGTACTTGTAAATGTACTTCAATGATAACTTTACTAGTGATGATCAATAAAATTTTAGTCGAATTCTCTCTTTTGAGTTGTGTATATCTCTTATCCTAGTGCTATCCTCCTTATATAGTATCTCTTACCCGTCTTACGAGAATAGGGATGACAATTGTATTCATACCCAATGGATACTTGCAAAAAAATATTCACAACGAATGATAACTTTACTAGTGATGATCAATCAAGTTCTAGTCGAATTCTCTCTTTTGAATTGTGTATATCTCGTATCCTAGTGCTCTTCTCCTTATATAGTACC